TATGTATGTATATATGTATATATGTATGTATATATATATTACATTTAAATATAAAAAAAAAAAGTAATATAAAAAAATAACTTGAAAATATATTTTTGATCTGTTTAAAAATATATAGACGTATTAAAAAAATAGCGATTTCTCATTTTTAATCAATACTGATATGTATTATTTTTTAACAATTATATTAATTTTTTATATTTTTACAACAAATTATAGAAACATAATACTGTTATTAAAAAGTTGACATGAAAACAATTTAAATGATTTTTGCAACTCAGTTGTGATTATTAAATAATTTTAATTCATTAGATGAAAGTTAAATAGCATTCATTTTCGGCTATTTTAACAACAAATTGTAGAAACAATTGTTAATAAAAAGTAAAATTAAAAAAAAGTGAATGAAATCTGCCAAATGTGCAATTTAAATGATTTTTACGACTCAGTTTTTGAGTGTTGACTAAATAATTTTGATTAATGAAATAATTATAAAATAACTTTATTGTTTTCTGTTTTTTTTAATAAGTGCATCCTGAATTTTCAGTGTCGGCCAGAATTTTCATTTTGGTGCATCACTAATTGTATTTACTTATTTATCTTTTGGTAATAAAGTGAGACCAGATTTAGTTTAGATTTAGAGATGAGCTTTAAACACTTTTTTGTGTGTGTGTAGTCTAATTTAGGTATTTACTTTTCTATTTTTCACTTGTTTCTTGCCATAGATATAACTGTGGAGCTATAGCATGGTGCTAAATTATAAACACAAACAATAACTTCTCTTAACTTTCGCTCGGCAAAATAATCTGTTTGTGATTTACTTGCAATGCACTCGAGAAGACATTAGATCCTCTCCATAAAGAAATCTGCCATGCAAATGGTTTTGGTCTGAACAGCTTTTGATTCAAATTCATTTGCATCAAATTTTTGTGACAATCATTTGTTCATTTTTCAGCTTGTTTCACCCTAAATGACTGTTCTGTCATTTTCAGACCTGTAGGTTGAACAGTGCTTTTTTTTAAGCAAGCCTAAAGCGTTTTTGCGTGCTAACACTGTTCTTTTCAGTACGTACCGCGCGTCGAACCTCAAGTCGCCCGGCGATCACTCCGTTCCTTCCACCAACCTGCAGAACGCCTTCCGTATCATCAAAGAGGTGCAGAAGCGCTACAAGACCCGCGAGGCGGAGGAGAAGGAGAAGGAGGGCATCGTTAAACAGGACTCGCTCGTCATCAACCTCAACCGCAGCAACCCCAAGCTCAAAGACCTTTACATCCGGCCCAACATCGCACAGAAGAGGATGCAGGGCTCGCTGGAGGCGCACACCAACGGTGAGACCATCGCCGCTTCGTCAGTCCATTAATGACCGATAACCACCAACTGATGCTCATATGTGATGCAGGCTAATGCAACTGAATTATAAGGCCACTGTGGCCCATTATATAATTCACTGTGAGTGTAAAACGTTCTGACAAGCCGATGTCAACGCAGAGCTGTGCTTTAAGTGATGCAGCGTAAATAACAAAACTACAGCAGCGACACGTCAAATACATTTAGCAGCTTCTACAGTTAAAAGAAAAAACTCTTTTGCATGTGTCCTTTTTAAGGCAGTGTTTAAAAAAAAAATCTAAAAATATATCAAAATATGTTATTATTTAATTGTGTTGTACTTGCTATACTTCATACTTGAGTACAGTAAAAGTACTCAAATTTGTTAGTCATTTTATAATAAATACAAAAGCAAGATGTGAAAAAAACTAGGGAGTTGGAATGACAACTGAGCTAATGAGTGATCCTCTGCTGCCATCTACTGGGAAAAAAAGAATATATATATTTTTTTTCCAGGATTCTTTGAATAGAAAGATCAGCATTTATCTGAAATAAAAAGCTTTTGTAACATTATGCACTCTACCATTCAAAAGCTTGGAGTCAGTATAATATTTTTTTTTTGGGGGGGGAAAGAAATTATAGAAATGAATACTTCTATTTAGCAAAGATGCTTTAAATTGATCAAAAGTCATGATAAAGACATTTATAATGTTACAACAGATTTCCATTTCAGATAAATGCTGTTCTTTTCAATGTTCTATTCATCAAAGAATGCTGAAATAAATTACACAACTGTTTATAACACTGATAATAATAAAACATGATTTTTTGAGGAGCAAATCAGCATATTAGAATATATTATTTATTACATATTATTTTATTATAATTAGAATTACTGAATACTTTTTTATATTAGAATGATTTCTGAAGATCATGTGACACTGAAGACTGGAGCAATGATGCTGAAAATACAGCTGCGCATCTCAGAAATACATTACAGTTAAACAGAGATTCACAGAAAACAGCTGTTTTAAATAGTAAAAATATTTCACAATATTAGTGCTTTTGCGGTATTTCTGATCAAATAAATGCAGGCTTGGTGAACAGAAGAGACTTCTTTAAAACACATTAAAAATCTTACTGGTTTTCAAAAACTTTTGACTGTTAGTGTGTGTATGTGTGTGTGTGTATATGTGTATATATATATATATATATATATATATATATGTGTATATATTATAAAATATGAATGTTAATCACAAACAACTGACTCTGTGTCTCTCCAGGTTTCCGTTTCACGTCAGTACGCGGCGATAAAGTCGACATCCTTTACAACAACATCAAACACGCCATTTTCCAGCCCTGCGACGGAGAGATGATCATCGTGCTGCACTTCCACCTGAAGGTGTGCGACGAGCTTCTGTTCCCCGCAGAACATCGACTGACTTTAACGAAGTTCTCTGTCTGTCGTAGAACGCCATCATGTTCGGTAAGAAGCGTCACACGGACGTGCAGTTCTACACGGAGGTGGGCGAGATCACCACAGACCTGGGCAAACACCAGCACATGCACGACCGCGACGACCTCTACGCCGAACAGATGGAGCGAGAGATGCGACACAAACTCAAATCCGCCTTCAAGAACTTCATCGAGAAGGTCGAGTCGCTCACTAAGGAAGAGCTGGAGTTCGAGGTTCCTTTCAGAGATCTCGGGTGAGTGGATTAAGTTACTCGCTGTCATGCGTTGTGATCAGTTTCGGATCGTAACTGCGTCAAACATGCTTGAATGTTCCCATACGCAAATAAGACTTCAATCAAAACAATGGCTGTCATTCACTATCAGTGCAGGAATTTGTTTGTCAAATCTTATTTTACAAATCATGATTCATTAAAAATGTTTGTGCTAAAATGTATTCTAAATTTACGGAAAATATAGAAACTGAAACGCACATAAAAATCAAATATTGTGCGATGCCTTATTATATGAGATTTTATATATGGGCACTGAAGGCAAATGCAACTTTTTATTTTATTTTTTTTACAAGTGAACAGTTTATAAGAGGAACGCAAAACTTGTGAAAAGTTTTCTCGGTCATGCAAAATTTTTGTGAGCAAACAATGTTTTTTGGGGAAATGCAAACGTTTTGAGAGCAAACACAATTTCGCAAAGTTTCTTGGGGAAACAAGCTTTGCAATTTAACGCAATGTTAATGAAGAACACAGAAATGTTTGTGCTTAAATTTATTCTAAATTTACGAAAAATATAGAAATAACTGAAACGCACATAAAAATCACACTGTGCGATGCAAATGCAACTTTTTTTATTTTTACGAATAAAAGTTTATAAGAGGAGCGCAAAACAAAGTTTCTCGGTGATGCAAGGTTTCGTGAGCAAACAATGTTTTTTGGGAAATGCCGAAGTTTTGAGATCGTACACAATTTTGCAAAGTTTCTCGAGGAAACAAGCTTTGCGATTTAACGCAAGGTTAATCAAGAACACAAGTTTCGCAAATGAATGGTGTTTCTTAGGGATACACAAAAGTGTCGGCAAGCGAATGCAGAGTTTCTCGGGGAAAAAGGTTTTGCAAGCAAACAAACGTTTTGTGAAGAGAGAATTTTTTGTGAGTTAACGCCATGTGTTTTGGTAAAATGCGAAAGTTGTCCAAGTGAACGCAATCTCACTGAAAGTTTTGCGAGGAAATGATAAATTTCTCAGGGGAACAGAAGTTTTGAGTATAAGCTAAGTTTGTGGGGAAACGTAAAAGTTAGCCAAAATAACGCAAAGTTTCTCGGAAACGCAAACAACTTTTCGCAAGTGAACGCAAAGGTTATTATTGCAACTATTACGTTATTATTAAGTTTACGTTAAATGCAAACGTTTAAGCGATCACAACTTTTCTTGGGGAAACGTGACACTTTTGGGAACAAATTTCGCAAAGTGAATGCGAAGTTTCTCAGGGAGCCAGGTCTAGCGAACAAATGCTAAGTTTATCGGGAATGCGGAAGTTTTGCAAGCGAACACAACTTATTGGGCGAAAACAAAACTTTTGAGAGAGAATGCAAATGTTTCGCAAGTGAACGCAAAGTTTATCGGGGAGAATGATGAAAGATTATAAAGAAAAGGTTCTCAAACCCTCAGACGATGTTGTGTTTTATGCTAAATGCTAACCTTGGGAGCGTGGTTGCTCATTTTAATTATGTCGGTTAGAGGTCAAGAACAGATTAATGTTGTCGCTAATTAGCCAGAGCGTTTTCGTCAAGCAGTTCTCATGTTATTATTAACGAATGCGACCCAATAGCTTTTCGCCGAAGTTCTCCTGGTTTAAGTGCTCTGTAAGTAGTTGTTTCGTCGTCATGTGACGTCGTCTGTGTGTTTTTTCGTTTCAGGTTCCAGGGCGCCCCCTACAGGAGCACCTGCCTGCTGCAGCCCACTTCCAGCGCCCTCAGTAACGTCACGGAGTGGGTGAGTATCTCGCCAACTAATAAGTAAATAAATGATACCGCGCCACAAACACCCGTCCTTACGACCCGCTTCTCTCGCGCAGCCTCCGTTCGTGGTGACGCTCGATGAGGTGGAGCTGGTTCATTTCGAGCGAGTCCAGTTTCATCTGAAGAACTTCGATGTGGTCATCGTTTATAAGGACTACAACAAGAAAGTCACCATGATCAACGCTGTGCCCGTCAACTCTCTGGATCCCATCAAAGAGTGGCTCAAGTAAGCTGCCGTGCCGGCCGCGTCGCTCTCGTCTGAGACGTTTACAGTGTGAGTGAACGTGTTGTGTGTCTGTGTGCAGCTCGTGCGATATCAAGTACACTGAAGGCGTACAGTCTCTGAACTGGACCAAGATCATGAAGACCATTGTGGATGATCCCGAGGGCTTTTTCGAGCAGGGCGGCTGGTCCTTCCTCGATCCGGAGAGTGAGGTAAGACGTCTCGCTGTGATCAATCTGACCTGGGATACTAGTAGAGTTTTAATTAATATTTTGAATGCGTTTTTTCAAACCTGTGGGGCTCTTGTGTCGTTTTAGCATCGTTAAAGGGTTAGTTCACCCAAAAATGAAAATTAGGCTGCGTTTTACTCACCCCCGAGGCATCCTAGGTGTATATGACTTTCTTCTTTCAGACGAATCCAGTCAGAGTTATATTAAAAATTGTCCTGGCTATTCCAAGCTGTTTAATGCCACTCAGCGGGTGTTGCATTGCTTCAGTCCAAAAGAAGTGAAATAAAAAAAACCCATCCATAATAAAAAGTCTCACACACGGCTCCCAAAGGCCTCCTGTAGCGAAACAATGCATTTTTGTAAGAAAAATATCCATATTCAAAACGTAATAATCACTTGAATCTAGCTTGCGCTCACTGTTGTACGCGGAAGCAGTTCCGGGCGGATGACGTATGAGTTCAGCGCTGCGCATGCGCCGCTTAGAAGTGACGAACACGGAAGCGCAGCGGAGATCAAAACGAAACAACGGTCACTAATTAGAAGTACAAAACGAGGATTTGTAAAGAAGAATGTCGGAGGATTTCGATATAAGCCAAGAGGAGACTGGTTTTCCTTTGCTAAAGTAAGGAAACTTTGCTTCCTTTGCTCCTGTTAACATACTTTGGTTTTCACGAGACTCACCGGCGCATTCGCAACGCTGAACTCATACGTCATGCTCCCGGAACTGCTTC